AGATGCCAATGGCTTAACACTGCCTGGCATATTGTTAGCAACCACATAAGTGGTTACTACATGTGCCATCCTTAACACCACCACACCCGCACTGCCACCATCTTATTTCTGCTCATCCCAGGAAACGGGTAAGGCTGTAGTCATATCCCATGGCCCAAGGACCTTGACTTATTATCTGCCCAGGTCTTCCTGCTTAGCCTGGCAAAGACACAAGAAGACACCCTATGAACAAGTATAGAAGGGAGAGTCCCATCTGGCCCCATTCCATTCTGCATGTGCCAGAGAGTTGCCTTTTCAAGCCAAGAAGTCCTTGGCTCTGAGCCAAGGACTCGGCAAAGAGGTCAGCTGGCAGCACTTCCTACTTACCTTGAACGATGCTAATGAAATAGTCAAAGCAGAAAGCCAGTTGGTCACGATTTGTATAATACAAGCCTCACCCATGCTGAGCGAGGGCTGCTGTCACCCCTGCGCACACACCTGAATCTCTCCTTTTGCACTTTCTACCCTCACTGTCCCAAGAAATCATTCTGGATTCCGCACCCCACAGCCAGTCCATTTTGGCCCCTGCTTTCAGCTGCCAACATCTAACTGGCATTCTCTAGGCCTCTCCATCTCTACTGCCACCCCCATAGTCTGCTTCAGCCTGCTCAAACCACAGCTTTTGCCTGCCTGTTTTTTCCTTTGGCTCCCCACATCTCTTCTCCACACAGTAACCATCATGTCATGTCTACACCCTGTTTACAGCCCTTCAGTAGATGCCCCATTGCCTTTAGAATAAGCCCATCTCCTCTCCATGGTCCACAACACCTAGCATCACGGGTCTCCTGCCTACCTCCACTCCCTCATTTCATGCCATCACTGGGCTCTAACCACATGAGCCTCCTTTCTGGCCTTGGACTTTACACTGGCTTTCCCCCCTGCCTTACATGTTCTTCCTCTGGCCCTAAGGAAGGCTACCTCCCTGATATTTCTCAAGTCAGAGTCCACACATTACTTTTCAAAGGGGCCTTGGCTGACCTTCCTTTCTCCTGCCTCTGTACGTATTATCATGTCACCTCCAGACTTATCACAAATTCCTCCATGAATATATGTTTCTTATTTATTATCTATCTATCTTCCCTCACTACAATGCACATTTCCTGAGGATACACTGGTCATTGCTGTAACCTCAGCACCAAAACTAGGCCTGGCACACAGTACCTGCTCAATAAATATTGGTATAAGTATGCATTCATTTAATCACTTAACCAACAAGCATTCTGTCCTCCACCGCTTGGCCCAATGCATTGTACACTGTAGGCAAAGACAAGTAAGACTTATTCTCTACCTGCTTAAATTCATCTTTGGTGTGTACCTACATAACTACAATAAAAAGTGATAGTAATAAATGCCTAAATACCATATGAGTGATAGCTGTGGGCCGCCATGTGTGTTTGAATGAGGAAAACATCATTTCAAACTGAGGTCACCTGGGAAAACATCTAGGAGAAGCTAGGACTTGAGTTGGGTCTTGAAGAGAAAAATGGGATTTGGAAAAGACAGAGATGAGAGACAGAAGTGGGGGCTTTGGAGAAAGCAAAAGTCTGGGGAGAAGGCAGCAGTGAAATGGTAAAATGTAAGGCAAGTTGTAGGGAAGACAGAGAAGACAGCTGGGCCAGTTCAGGAGGTCCATTTAGGGCAAAGAGAGGATGTCAGAGTAAGAGTTGAAAGTACCACCATGAGCTAGCTAAGGCAGTTGGATCCACAGAGGCAAAAAGCAGGCTTTTCCCTACAGGTCTACAGTGGCAAATCTACAGGCAAGCTAGAAACTTATCGTCAGTATCTGAGCTTGATCTTGGGCACATAAATATATATGTGTATATGAGCAAAAGTATTTCTTATAGTAGTTTACAAGGCTATTAGCTGTAATAAGATATCTAATAGGTTCAACTAATGTCAAATATTTGTACTCTATTTTTAACATCTTCCAAATATTTTTTAAAATTTTGTATCTTCGTTATAAGTGAAAAATCTTCAGGGAAGTAACAAACAGTGTTTTATTGCTCAACCTTGATTAACTAGATGGTAACTCAGGTCAATTTATGGATATATACAGACAGATAGATAGATTCTTTTTTGTTGTTCCAGTATCTAAGATCCATTATGGAAAACAATTTTAATGATAAAATTGAAGGGTTTTACTTTGTTTATAGTTTTACTTCTAGCAATTTTATTTGCCATTAAATATCCAGAGGCTTAAAAGTAAATGTTTTATTCTACCTTGATATATATTTTCAAAAGAAAATTTGTGAGGTTGTAACATTTGGGGGTTTAATTTTACTTAAAATTGCCATATTTCCTTGCATACTTTTTCTCTTTTTTTTCAAATCTTTAGACATGTCACAAGTGGAATTCAAACAACCCACACACCCACAAATTGAGTGAAAATAATTAACATTGGTATTAACCCACCAACATTTCAAAGGATACTGAGTGCCATTTAAATACATCAGATTAGATCTATCAGTATTCATTGAGAGATGTTTAGATTCAACCAGGCCAAAACGATGTTATTACACTTTTCAATTTTATTTTTATTTCTAAAAAATGTTCACCCTACATATTTATAATTTATATATATAATTCTCTACCTTTTTGAATGTGTCTCCACATTCATCAGTTGATCTTCATAAAAGACTTGTCAAGTAGACAAGGTCAGTGAGATGAGCCTCAGTTTCAGGAATGAGAAGAAATTATAAAGAAGAGCAGGGATGTCTGAAGGCTGCAGGGAGCAGCATTACCCAAAGAAGCAGAAGTACCTTTTCCCTTAGCTCAATCTAGGTAAGAGGGAAGAAGGAGGCTGTACACATGATTACATCATCAATTCTGTCTGCACCCAGAGAGCCGGCTGAACAGCAGCCTTCCGTGGGCTTGCTATGCCAACAGTTGCCCCAAAACATTGTCAATCATTACAAAACATGACAAAAACCAGGTTTCATCCACTCACTGTGAGCAACATAAACAAAAAAATAAAGTAAAAAAATAAACAGGACACTGCAGATAGTCAAAAAAAAAAAAAAAAAAAAAAGTTAACTGCAGCCAGCCTTTGTTATGTATTAATACGTTTTTAAGACCTTCCCCTGAGGCTATAACCATGACTCCTGGGCTGCTCCTGTTGATCCTGGTGCTCTGGCACCAAGAGGAGTAGAAGAATCATCTGCTTTTCCTCCTGCTAAGAACGTGATGTGCGCAGTAACAGGAGATATGTGGGAGGAAGCATGGGAACTGGATTACCCTAAGCTGGAGTTGGTTACTGCTAACTCAGTGGTTCTCAAAGAGTGGGCCCAGAGCAGCTTCATCAGCACACCCTGGGAACCTGTTACAAATGCAGGTTCCCAGGCTCCACCCCCGACCTGCTGAATCAGATACACTGAGGAGGGGACCCAGAAATCAAGTGATACTGATGCACAGTGAAATTTGGGGGCCACTATGTTAAGCTAGTCTCACTACACTCAGTGTCCTCACTGCTCTGCAAGTGAAGAATTCAGTCTTGCTCAACTCACTCACAGTGCCAGTTCCTCATTCCCATCCCCCCACCTTTATCCCTCCAAGCCCCTGGGTGCTGAAAGAAACTGGCCTTTTCCTGTCTATTTATTGTGGCTCTAGGCAAAGGCGGCCACCACTGGGTAGGGCCTGAGTCTCTGTGATCTCCTTGGTCAATTCACATCTTCCTGGGAGACAGATGGAGAGGCTGACAAAGAGCGTGTTAAGAGGAGTAGAGATTCTGTTCCCTCCCTCCTGTCAAAAGGTCCACAAGGAGTAAAAGCCCTGCAGTAGGCGGGGGTGGTGGGGGTGGGGGAGAGGTGGAGCTCTGGGGAGACTGCTGTGTGGAGTCAGGGTCGCTCAGATCGCAGGCCTGGCCTCAGCAGCTTGCTCTGAACCTTTCTGAGCCCTGGTTTGCTCACCTGCAAATCAGGATTCGAATGAGAACTACTTGAGACAGGGTAGTATGCGAAGCGGCCGGCTCACTTGTAGGCCACAAATAAATGGTGGTTATGATTATCACAAAGACAAGGAGGAGAAGTGGAGCAGACTCTTCCTGAAGGAAGCACTGGGTGACGGCAGGAGATAAATGAACACAGATCACATCAGGGAGGTCACTGAGTGAGAAACTTAGATGGCGGCTATGGACATTGGGAAGCACATAAGTCACCTGGGAGTCTTGCTAAAATGTTGATTCTGCACCATCTGCTCTGGGGAGGGGCTTGGGAAGAAGTCGGCAGACATCCATGCTGCTGTACTTCCCTTGGGGCAGCAAGGCCATGGATTGTTCTTGAGCAAGTAAACAACAGAGAGGTGCCCTAGGGACATTAAATACTAGTAAATTCGTCATTCTGCCCCAAGGCTTTGCCAAATTTCCTGTAGACAGCCTAGCAATCTTCTCCCTCAACCCTCAGCTGAGACCACCTCAAACTGGAGTCCATAGGACAGAGGGGAGCTTCAAGCCATAGCTGGGTCAGAAGCAAGAATCCACAGGGTACCGTTTGCTAGGGCCCACCCTCTGCTCTATCACTGCCCACGTTGTATCCACCTCCCACACACAGACACACATCAGCATGTGCAGTGCTCTGAGCATGCCATCCCAGAGCCCCTAGAATTTATGTCACCTTACCTAAGTATACACCCTGTGTGCATTCAGAAACAAGCCCCAAATTCCTCTCCTTGCTCTTATCTCTCTCCCTTGCCCTCCTCCTCCTCCTCCTTCTTCTCTCTCTCTCTCTCTCTCTTTCTCTCTCTTTCTGCAGCAACAGTCCTGTAAACATTGTCTCTGGGGGCCTACTAAAGCAATGGCCAAGGCATATATCTTTGCTCAAAGAAATAGTGATTGTTAACAAATGATGTGAAAACTGAAAGCCATACAGGATGTCAGTTCAGAAGAGATTTTCTGCCGCATAAGAACCATGATAAATAAAGCTCCCTTCAACTTCCTCATTTAAATCTTTCTTTTTTCTCCTCCTTAGCCAGAAGACATTGGACAAGCACCGATAGTAAATGCCCCAGAAGGTGGAAAGGTTGACTTGGAAGCCTTCAGCCATTTTACAAAAATCATCACACCAGCAATTACCAGAGTGGTGGATTTTGCCAAAAAGTTGCCTATGTTTTGTGAGGTGAGAATGTTTTTCCTTCTGCATTATTTTTAATTATAGTTTCACCTGTTTCCAGGAATACTGGGTATTATTTACAATTTAATATTAATTGGTAGAGACTTAATCCTATGAAAACAACGTCAGTACAAAATGAAAATGCTTTCTATTTCATCTGTATTTCCCACTTTCTGTACTTAGTCATCATTCATTAGCTTGTCTCTGTAAGGTCCATCAAGGTCCTATTCATCCTCCTGATTCCAGGCATTGAGAAATAATGATAGCAATGGCTTCCATTGACTTAGCACCTATGATGTCCTAGTTACTACATTCAGGTACTTGGATTGGCCCACATTAAATCTAATCCTTCTAACAGATTTGCAGTGTCGCTCGTATTAACCCCATTTTCAGATGTGGACAATCAAGATCAAAGAGATTAAGTTAACTTATCCAAATGTGGCGCCATGGTTGAAACCTAGGTCTGTATTCTTTCCAGTGCATAGCCCAGCCAGATAACTGTGTGGTCATGTCTTAATCCTCAAGAATAAGTTAAATGCCCCTCACAGAACCAGGCTCTTAACATTGTCACACACCTTTCCTCTTTTCCTATAAGCTCATTCTTGCTTGTCCTATCTCCAGGGCACCCTATAGAGCTGTCCCACCAGAGGTCATCAGCTTTCCCTTTGGGACACTTTATCGGTCCTGCCCTGTGGTGGCCGAGAGCACTGACTCTACAGTCAGCTACATGGGCAAGAATCCTAAACAAGTTATCCGGTATCTTCAAACTTCACTTATCTCATCTGTAAAATGGGAATTACAATAGTACCTGCCTCTTAGAGCTGTTGAAAGGTTTAAGTGGGATAATGTATTTATAAAGTGACTAGGCAGTGCCTGGGTTGTAAAAAGTATTCCATAAAGTTTAGCTGCTAATACTGCTTTTATTTTATCTGTTACATTTCCATCCTGCCTCTAACTTCCTTCTTCTGAATCAAGTGGGGTTGATTATGTTTTCTGGAGAACTTTAAAAAACAATACTTCATAAGGTGCTTGTCTATTGCTCTGTATACGTTCAAGGGGACCCAGAAAGATACCAAATAAAGAGAGGGTCACGGACAGCTGTGAGCCTCTTGGGTAAGCGGGCTGAGTGATAAGTGATCCTGGTTTCACCTAAAAAGAAGCTAAGTTTTCTCACCTAGAATGACTGCCTGCTGCCTTGGCTCCCAGCTCTCTTGTGTCTTTGAGTTTGCAGTAACGGGACCCTAGATGGAGACAGAGAGACCTCATACATTATGGGGACACTTCTCATTGTCTATTTCTGAGCCTCTGCAGAAGCCATACCCAGAGGGACAGGGAAGTGTCCTCATACATTATGGGGATAGTTCTCATTGTCTATTTCTGAGCCTCTACAGAAGCCATACCCAGAGGGACAGGGAAGTATATATGTCATAAGACAGCTGTCTTCTTACTGTGTCCCCTCACGGCAGACAGCACACGGGAGCTCCTGGGATCTTTTACAAAGGCACAAATCCCATTCATGAAGGCACCACTCTCATGACCTCATCACCTCCCTAAGGACCACCTTCAATATCATCACACTGGGGATTAGGCTGCAACATATGGATTTTGAAAGGATACAGACATTCAGTCAATAGCACCAGGGGACCCGATATGCTAGTACACACAGCCTTGCAGTAGCAATGACTCATACCCCAGACCTAAAGAAGTCAGTAGGCACTGAGGAAGGGACTTTGATTTATATCTCTGTATTGGGCATGGAGCTTCCCATGCCTTTGACACCTTTTCTAAAAGTAGACATCTATTAACATTTTAGATGATATTGTAAAAATTTTACATATGCATTGAAGGTTTATTTATACGACATAATAAAGGTAATGATTTACGGTAAGAGTACCACAAGCTTTTGACACCTTAGTCTTTTTTCAAATATTTTTGTGTACACACACACACACGTGTACACATATATATGTGAAATATAAAATATATTTAATATAATGTATACCATAATGTACTTTCAGTGTATGAAACTATTTTTAACTTTTTATTAAAGAATGAGTGTATATGTCATAAGGGTACAGCTCAATAAATTTTTACAAACGGAACCACCCACATGATCAGCACCAAGATAAAGAAACAGATCATTACCAGTACCTGTCACTGTACCTAACTTTTTACCCTCAATGGCAGGATGTAGCATTTACATTTTCTTTTCCACAAAATGATTTTCAATGACCACACAGGATTTCAAAGAATACATCTACCATAACTTATGTTATCTGTTTTTACTGGATCTATAGTTCGTTTCCAATTTTTCACTAATAAAAATATGCTGCCGTGAACATTCTGACAATTATATCCTGCTCACATCACTGACTGCGTCTGAAGGGTAAAGCCTGGACATGGAGTTTAAGGACCAAGATATACAGGTTTCTTATATGTGTTGCCAAATTGCCCTCATGAGAGAAACTATGTGCACTCTCACATCCACTGTGACAGGCTTGTTTCCCCTCACTCCTGCCATTTCTGGCTGTCATCTTTCTCTTTTGTTTGTGGGGATGGTTTTGTTTTCCTGGACCTCTCTTGGTCCTCTCTCTAGCTGTGTCCTTTTGCCCCCAGTTATTTGGTCTGAAGAGGGACACCACTGAGTTTGTGAACCCTACGACTCCAGCCAGCCTGCCAGTCACATAGTGTCTTTGAATGTTCCCCAGAGATGGTTTTTTTAAAAAATATAAAGCTCATGTAAACCAATCACTGAAGAGATATTTCAGTTGAAGGAAGAATACAGAAGCAGCAGCCATCTCCACCACCAGGAGCAAATACACTGTGCACTTTCGTCTGTGGCAAGGGCAAGGGGTCAACATGGAACTTTTCAAGCATGGGTTGTAGCAAGCTTATCTATCCAAGTTTCCCTTAAAAGTCCAAGCCTGTTTCATTTTTGATTCCATCTCTTTCTACCCTGATATCATGTGGTCTGCAAATTACAAAAGGCGATGGCGGTAGGATGGTGGGAGCGCCTTTACAGCAGAGATGCATATGTTTTCCATCTTTGTGGCCTCCTGATGACCTTTAGCCTCTTACACTCTCTTTGAAACCCAAAAGAAGGGAATGAACTGTATAGGTTCCTGGGCTACCCGTGGAGTGGGCTGGAGATCTCAGGTGGTCTTGAGAGCCAGGGGTCTCTTGCCAGAGGCAGTTTATCACATCTGCTATTCAAACTGTGTTCATGATTATTGTTCCTCTAAGATCCATGCCATCCCACCAAACAAGATTGGCATGACACCAGTGGCTTCACAAGAGCTAAAGTCACCTCTGGCAGAGCTGCCAAAACAACATGCAAAACCACTTCTGGAGCGCAGGGCCCTGTCATCTTTGCCAGTCAACCTGAGTGATGCTCTCCTAAGGAGGCAGGAAGAACCTGTGGGAGTATCCCTGTATCACTACCTGTCAGACCCTTGTTGAGTGTACTTACAATGAAAGCATTTTGGCAGGTGTCTAAGAGATTATTTGCCCACGTGTTGAAACAAATCTCACCAGGATCCTACAAATCCCTCTTAAAGGAAAAGGCATCTGGCCCAGTTTTTAAACCACTAGTGATCCTTTGCAAATACTTATTCAGCTTTTATTTAAATTTGAACTAATCTTCAACAGTTGGTACTTAAACTAGAAATTTGGAAAAGAAAATTTCTACTTCATCTACAATCAGACTTGGTTTAAAAAGTAGGGCCTGCCCAAGTTTGCATACTTTGTAACACATTTTAAAAATAAGTGGTTTGATCTGATTAGTAACTTCTCGTTGCTGTTCTATGCTGGTAGTTCTCAAGAGTGGAATCTGTGAACTAGCAACATAAGCATTACCTGGGAACTTTGGGGAAATACAAAAACTCAGTGGTTGGGGCCAGCAATCTGTGTTTAGCAATCAGAATCTAGACAAAAGCAAATCAGAGTGCTTTTTAAAAAATGAGTGGAAGGAGAGAATTCATATAAACGGATTCCAGAATCAAGTATTCAGTGACTTTTATTTTATAGAAAAAGCCAAGCAGTTTGAAATTAAATGGTAAAGTGACTAGGCTGAGCTAGTAAAAAATATAAAACACCCAGTATTTTAGATGTAATTCAATTGTATTGCTTTTATATAATAACCCAAATTGGACTGGTCAAGTATTGCCAAAAGCATTTCCCAGAAGGAATTCGTAACTGCTTTAATGAAGGATAGATATTAGGTGTAACTCACACATTTGTTGTTTATGGAAACTTAGTAATATCCATGGTAAAAAGAGTATGTTCCCGTCTTCTCTTGGCATTGGATTCTGACAGATCCAGTTTCAAATCCTATCCACGAAATATTCATGTGACCACCCCCCCCTCAACCCAGCTTGTTACCCTCTCAGTGCCTAGATTTCCACATCTGTAAGTAATATGGAATTATGATATTTACCTCATTGTATTGCTGTCAAGATTAAATGAGGTGATGCATGGAAATCTGGGCATGATGCCCGATTCATCGAACACACCCATTTACTAATAGCCTTCCAAATTACTTTGATAATAGCATTTGATTAAACAGTCTCCCCTTCCAGAAAATAAAATTCTGGTTTTTATTATTTTGCCTATGAGCAAAGGTATTTTTTATTATTGCCACAGTCTCACAAATCCTAATTAACAGGGTAACCATATGAGCTTAAAAGGAGATTGCAACACCAGCAGAAAGACCCGGTGTGTTGAGTAACTCCTGTGTCTCAGGTACTGAGAGGAACACAACCTTGGGAGCCAGGAGGTCTCAATTCTGCCCTCCCCTCTGCCTTTAAGTCCCTGGGTGACTTTAGATGAAGCTTATATCTCTGGGTCTCATGGGCAACATGTATCTCTGCCAGCAACCCTCTAGTTCTCTGCCAAGAGGCTCAAAGAGCAAATGTGCTTCAAAAACCGAAAGGAAGCCCAGTGGCCAGCTAAACAGTAGGGTAAGCTGTTACCTATTCAAGCTACAAAACAAAAAAACAAACAAACAAAAATGGAGACTTTAACATAAACCCTGGTCTCAAGCAGTTATCAGTTGAAGTTATAAAACAAACCCCCAAACTGAGGGGTTATTAGCACAGTTTCACACCTGACTGTAATAGCAGTTGGAGACCTGCATCTGTCGTAAAAACAATGCAAACTCCTGAGGTTGAAGTTGGCAAAGATTACAGCCAACTTTGAGTATGAGATATGGTTGCTGAAAGTCTGCCAAGCAGGGAAGGGAAAACCATGGGTTCAAAGAATACAGGATAAATGTTAATGACAGAAGGTTATTCCTGTTGCTTTTAAGTTATTGTGTGTTGCTCCTGACTGGCATTTGTCCATTTGTTCTTCGCTGACATGAGCTGGTTCTTTTCAGCTGCCATGTGAAGACCAGATCATCCTCCTGAAAGGCTGCTGCATGGAGATCATGTCCCTTCGCGCTGCTGTGCGCTATGACCCAGAAAGTGAGACTTTAACCTTGAATGGGGAAATGGCAGTGACACGGGGCCAGCTGAAAAATGGGGGTCTTGGGGTGGTGTCAGACGCCATCTTTGACCTGGGCATGTCTCTGTCTTCTTTCAACCTGGATGACACTGAAGTAGCTCTCCTTCAGGCTGTCCTGCTGATGTCTTCAGGTGAGTATGCCTAGACTTGTTAGTGGGCATCCAAAGAGCTTTTGCTTGTCTAGTGCTATTTCCAATCACTTGATGATTTTCAGTCCCCCTTTAGCTTCAGAAACATAGCTCACTCTTCTTCAGCAAGAAATTGCAGGTTTGCCAGTAGACTGGGAACTTAAAGGAGGGATGTCAGAAGTCTGATGCTTTTTGCAGTGTCCCAGGGTAGAAAGAAGCCAAAGGAGCCATCTTAAAGACTCTATGAAGTGATCCACCTTTGGTGGACACTGTGCAGCCCTCTTCATAGTTTCCGGCCAAAGCTGCCTCCTTCCGGTTTGGGGTATGCAAGATATGGATGTGAGTGACCACACGATTGTGTGTTAAGTTCTGTGTGTGGAAACCATGGATGCAAGCTAGAGTTTGTTCATGGCTCAGCTACAACTGAAGTTTCAGTTATCTACTGCTAAACAGCACACCAACCCAAAACTCAGTGGCTTAAACATCCAAGAGGACTGGAGTTCGGCTGGAACATCAAACATTGGTTCAGGCCTCCCTCCATGAGGCCTTTCCTCCTGCAGGGTAGTTAGACTTCTTACTTGGCTGTTGGATTTCAAGAGAGAGTTCCAAGCACATGAAAGCAGAAGTTGAAGATCCCATGAGCATAAGACTCAGTCTCAAATCACACAGCATCACTTCATCCACATTGGATAGGCCCAAACAAGTCTGAGTGCCAGCCCAGACTCAACAGTCCCCCTCTAGATGGGAGAATAGCACAGAACTAGGAGTCCTCCGTAAGCCACCATAGCTCATCACCAAAACGTCTAACTCCCATCAGCTGGGGCAGATAATAATGCTGGCTTTTTTTCCTTCGGGGATCATGTCATAATAAATAAGGAATACCAAACACATCAAACCCTGTCAGGGAAGATAGTTTTAAATGGAAGTGGTTTCAGAGTCCTCTGCATTTTCAGGGAACCCAAGTGTAGCTGTGTTCTGGCACTTGTCACTCTGCACTGTAACTATCTGCTTCGCTTGTCCACGTAAGTCCCTGTGGACTTTTTTTTTTTTTTTTGAGGACACGGATGTGTCTAATTGTATATCCAGCACCTAGGCCAGTGTTCAGTAGAATTCAAGAAAAGCTTATTGAATGAATGGCTGAATATGTGGGTAAAATATCAGGAGCAAGTACATTGAGAATCCTTTGTAGAGTTGCTGCTTCCTGGTTAACTCAGTAGGATTCTTTTATTTTTTTTTTTTTTCAACCTGAGACAGGGTCTTGCTCTGTTGCCCAGGCTGGAGTACAGTGGTGTAAACACAGCTCACCACAGCCTTGACCTGCTGAGCTCAAGAGATTCTCCTGCCTCAGCCTCTCCAGGCACACACCAGCACCCCTGGCTATTTTATTATTATTATTATTATTTTTTATAGAGACAGACGGGTCTCACTATGTTGCCCAGGCTGGTCTTAAACTCCTGAGCTCAAGTGATCTTCTCACTTCAGTTTTCCAAAGTGCTGGGATTACAGGCATGAGCCCCCATGCCTGGCCTATAATTCTTTTTTTAAAACTGATCTAGAAATGTATTTGCTATAGGAAATTTAGGTATGGCAGACTTTTTTCTTTTTATTATGGAAAATTTCGAAGGTAAGTAGATAGAATAGCATAATGAACTCCCGTGTACACTATGGCACACAGACTCCAGACCGGCTCCCCAGACTCGACACCTCGCAGTGTTCACACCCTGATCATCTCCTGTCCTTCACTGTGTACAGAACCCGTGCCTTGCTTCTAACCAAGAGAATATGGCAAATTTGATGTCACCCTCATGTGATTATATTACACAATCTAAGATTCCCCCTTACTGGCAGACTTGCTCTAGAGTGTCTCTGTACCAGCTTCATGAGGGAAACCACCATGTGGGGAAAGTTCCCATGACAGGAGCTGTAGATGACCTCTAGAACTAAAGATGGTCTCCAGTGACAGCCAGCAAGAAATGGGGCCCACAGTCCTTCCAGAGAATTATTCTCAAATAAAATTTATAGCTTGTCTACAGACTCCCTGTGTGACTTTGGGTGGCCCCCTAGCTTCTCTGGGCTCCAGTGACCTTTAAAATGAAGAAATTAAGCTACATACACAGGAATTCTATTTCTGGAGGGACTCATGGTAATTTTTTTAGCTGGGATTTTAGTGGTACAAAGACAGTTTTAAATAATGTTGAATCACACCATGAGAAAGCTATTTCTTCGACAGTTTTCTTCCTGGTTACATCTCCTTCCAAATAAGGCAAGGAGAGAGTCTCAGTGTGGTGCTAGTCTGCCTTTAACACCTCTCTAACACTTGCTAACCTTCCTTTTTTAACAAAGAGAGAGTGGATCTCAGGAGCAGTGTTCGGCCAGAACCTTCAGCTCCAAAGTTCCAAAGGCTTCTGCCATGCCTCCATTTTTGTGGTTATCTTCCTACTTATGTTAAATGGATTTTTGTTACTGAATAGTATGTTTCCACTGTAGTGGGTCAGTTTAACAGATTATTAAGCAAATAATCTAAATAAGGTGGCCAACGTGAGAAGTAGGTAGAGATGACAAAAACTGTGAATGTGACGCCGAACACTATCAAACACCAAACTGTATGATTCTTCCCAGTTCTCTCATGTCATGAGGCTGGCACTGCCTGACAGCTACAGGACAACTTAATAACTCTTCACAATCCACCCTCCCTAGTGATGCGGGCTCTCTTCGTCAATACTGCCGGGACCCGGAAAATATTACAAGACACTGTGCATTTGGCAAGTCATAGCTGCCTGTCGGAGCCCCAAGTCTCCAATTCCTTCGCAGCCTGATGTCCTAAGCCCCATGTTTTGTGTGGCATTTCACTTACACTGTGTCTTAGACATTTCCTTCAAAGACCTTTCCACTAGCCGCTACTTCTAAGTTCCTTGGTCCTGCAGTACAAAGAGAAAAAATGAAAATGATCTGAGGGACATTTCTTTGAGAACTTTTGTCTTAAGGAGTTAAAAATGGTCTTCCGTCTTTAAAATGTTTCTCTCTTCATAAACCTGTTTGGTGCAATTCAAGCATCATCAAAATGTCAGTTCGTTCTCACTCTGTCATTTATGTGACCATCTTATCTTTCTCTCTTTGATGCCACAAAATCCACATTATATTTTCCCTTTGAAAGAATACATCCAAAGCAATAATATGTTGATCTTCTATTTGGATCAAAAGTTAAAGGACCCTGTGGAAAATTCTTGCACACTCAAAGAAAGAGAGAAGATAGAGGAGAGGGAGAGAGAGTGAACCAGAAAATCCACAGAGCAGCTTCATCAAATATGAAGAAAAACGTAAGATAAAAACGCACAAATTGCCGTTTGAGCTAAATAGGGGATTCCCAAGACCCGTATGGTTTGTTAGTTTGTCTATACTGTGAAGGGTGAATTGAGACACTAGTCCTGACCCTTCCTTTCCAATGAAGCAGAACCCTGTTTAGATTCCTACTGATACAGACACCTCAATAATTGGAACTTTGAAGTGTGAATTCATTTGATCAGAGCCACAGAAAGCAGACTGAAACTGAAACTCAGAGAGAACTGAGCAGGGGTGTGCTGGTCCTCCTGGAGCTATTTGAGGAATTCACCCAGGTTTAGAGATTATTTTTGTCAGCCAAGGGTCTGCAGTCCTGCTCTTCCCCAGTTGTCCAGCCTCCTTGTGTCACCCCTTTATCACTTTTGGAAACTGACTTGAGCCTCTCCCACATACTGTGGGAAGCCCAGGGGTCTGTGCAGGACTTGAGAAGATTTCCTGGGCTTTCTGGGGTCCCAGTGTCCACTCACTCCAGCTCCTACTGTAGCTATTCTCTTCCCTGCATGGGGTGACTCTGGCACAGCTCACCTCCCCGTTTCATTTCATTAAAATTCCCAAACCAGGACTAATACAAGGCTGCTACTGGTAGCAACTACTGGTAGCTACTGGTATAGGGGAAGGAAAGGCCGGTTCACTGCAGCCTGGAAGACAACACAAAATTAAACACGGTGTATCTTGGTCCTCAAGGAAATGTTTTACTATCCCACATTCTTCCTTTGGCCTCAGGCCTGCTGCAATATCCCCAGTCCCTTCATACATCTCCCCTTTCTGTGCATGTCCACACTCATCCTCTACCCTCTCCCAGGCAGCCAGTGGAAATTCAAAACTGCTCCCCTCATCTTGCAGAATCATTCAGATGTCAGGCTTCTCCTTATGTACCCTGGCAGGGAGGTATCAACTTTCACAGCCAGGAAGGTGATCTGTCTAAACAGAAATATTTATCTGAACAAAGTACAGATTCTCTTCATATAAATGGTGCCACTCTCCTGGTACCTGGTCCCTGGAGCACCACAGTTCACACTGCATCCATGCTCATGGCTAAGAGGGAAGACCCTAGATCTTCCATGTCCCACTAAAGACCTGGAATTGGACAAGGCAAACCTTCCCCCTTCAAGCTCTGAATCAATGTCCATCTTCTCTCTTCCCCACAGATCGCCCAGGACTCGCCTGCGTTGAGAGAATAGAAAAGTACCAAGATAGTTTCCTGCTGGCCTTTGAACACTATATCAATTACCGAAAACACCACGTGACACACTTTTGGCCAAAACTCCTGATGAAGGTGACAGACCTACGGATGATAGGAGCCTGCCATGCCAGCCGCTTCCTGCACATGAAGGTGGAATGCCCCACGGAACTCTTCCCCCCTTTGTTCTTGGAAGTGTTCGAGGATTAGACTGACTGGATTCATTCTCATAATTCCTACAGCACTACTGGGTGTCATTTCATTCCATTGCCTAGCTCTTTTTTGTTTGTTTCTTTGTGTCAGGAGGGATTTTTTGGGAGGGGAAAGGGAAGTAGTCCTTGGCATAGACATGGATGAAATTGCCCCTTGAATGCGGGTACTTGAAACTATTGCATTTTGTTCTCCAGTCCTTTGATGTGAATGCTCTGAAGGTTTTACGGTTGTGGAGATGGGGTGGGGGACAATCATTAACTCACCAGCACCCAAGCATCACCAGCTCCCACCCGTCCCTGGTCTGAGATTTGAGCGAGCAAAACGGCACTGCAGGACACTAAAGAAGCCTTAAAACCAAGATAATACGACCACCTCCACCCAATCCTGATGTTTGCAGGGCTCAAGTTAGCAGAGCACAGACCACCTTTAGTTAGATGTGGCTTTCAGCTTTTTAGAGAAAGAATTGAACAAAATTTCATCTATTCAAGAGCGTGCTATTTCCAGCACTCTTTATGATCTCCCAGGAGCATAACTTGGAATGTACAGGAATATTTGTGTCCCGAAAAATCAGCTTCCCTTCCAATATCATTTTTATAACCTTATGATTTAATTCAAATTATACCAGGGCGTGACCAAGGATATGCAGGTATTTGACTGATTGAGGCCAGCAAGGAAAATACCTGTTTTCAGTGAGCCCAGAGAAATTAGAAATCTTCACCAATGTCCGTGACTCCATGGTTTCCAAAAATTCACATAGTATGACCTCACAGTAGGAAGGCTTCTTTACCATTTAGGCTCAGTGAACACTGTTACAGAAATCAAACCTATTTACAGGGTGACACCCGTTTTCTGTGGCATCTGATCTATCTCCCAAGCTCCTGAAGTTCTTTATCCAGGTTGTATCTTTGCTGACCTGACAAGATTTCCCTGTGGATCAAATCTTCTAACCAAGGAAAGATAAGGTGAAATTTCAGTCTTCTGGAGAAATTTTGAGGAGAGATTAGTGCAGCTACATTCTGAGTTGAAGGAAATGCAGTGTTCTGAGAGCCCCTTCATGTCCTAATGGCTGGAAGATGCTTCCTTCTGCTTAGATCCTCAAGCTCCTTGCTTCATTGACCAATATCTTCTAGTCCCCTTTTTCCCTCTGATTCTGAGACACTAAATAGCTTGACTATCTCTAAACAGAGTGGCCCTGCCACTGACCCTCCTGTCCGTCTTCTAGCCCACCCTGACAGATAGATACTCAACAGAAAACACCTGCAGACCATGTGTATACTTATCTTTCCTGCCCAACCTGCCTCCCCAATGGCCTGTGCTGGAATAGCTTGTGCCCAGAAAACAAACGGTGACGCCTCATCTCTTCAGTGTCAGAAAATGGGCATAGAATGTACCCATGCAATTGAATGTATCTCATTCTCCACTGGCGTAGTAGATATAAACTATTCCTTTGCCTACCTTTTACTGCCTTATCCTGGAAATATTGGGGAAAATAAGCCATATCAGTGAGATTTACCTAAAAACAAAGGAAGGAAAGTCACTGTGAAAACCAAGTAGATTTTTTTTTTTTAAGTTTGGTGGGGCAATACTAGCCCAGAAGTCTGGGTTCCTGAATTCTAGTTCGTGCTCTGTCAACTGGTAGATTTGTAACTTTAGGTCTTGGTTTTCTCACCTGATAAATAAGTCATGATCTCTAAAACCCTTCCTACCCTTAATATTGTATGAATTTCAGGGGGTAAAAAATCTGGTTCCTTTGTTGGTTTTTTTAACACTTAAATTTCTAACTTTATTAGACAAGAAGCATGGCCCACTTAACAGTTAAGAAACATACATTTGGTATGAACTCGAAATAATAATTTGACACAATACTAGTCAACTATTTAGAGGCCTTGGAAAAAGAAGAGGAGCAGTGCCGAAAATTCCAAGTATGATTGGAAATAATCTGGGGGCAGGGAATTAAATGTTCAATGCACAAAAGCAATTGTACTGGCTTCTGGGAAAAAGGAGACAAGAACATTGCTATAGAACTTGCTATCCAAAGGAAGTAGGTGAAAAGATTTACAATTATAGGCACGAAGTTCATTGGCAGATTACCTGCTGTATCTACAGATTGTTTTTGGGTTTGGTTTTGTCTAGGCAGCCTCTAGCCAGGTTCCTTAAGTGTTTGCTCTGCTAACATTTCAGCCTTCTCTCTAGAGTCCTTGAGGAAACACTCTTTGAAAGATAAACACTTAGCCACCTCTCCGCTCCAGGGTAACCCTGGGAAGCTCTGCTGTCTGGGGCAAGCTTTCTTTCCAAAGGGAATGACAAGAAGGAAAGCAGGCAGGGTCCTGCAGCATCAGGCCTTCTGGGGAAAGTTTCCTCATTTTGTTAGACAGGATCCTCAGTACATCGGACACCCAGATTTGAATGTAAGTTCAGAGCCTGATCTCAAGCTAAATCAGAATGCTTTGGGTACTAACCATGATCAAGAATTGGCCATATGGTAAGATATACAAACGGCCAACCAGCCAGCCCCAAGTAAAGGCACGTTTGATCCTTGGCACCCTAAATGATTGCCTTCAATAGGCAAACTGCTGGTCTGGAAATCTTGTTGAAGGCTGAATACTTCATGTTGAGTAGGACAAGTCTTAGCACACTTCAGATTGAAAGAAAAGGCCATAGGACTCAAAGGATAATGACTCTGAAACTAAACTCCTTCCTTCTGAAGCTGACAGAGGTTCGTAGTGCATCTCAAGACTCCATCTCATAAAACTCATTTGTGAGGGATTTGCTCTAGATTTTTCTAAACATTTTTTTCATCTATTGTCCAGACTTGCAAATCAAGTGTGGACCTGATGGAGACACCCTGCACACCTGCGCTCTCACCCCTTCAGCAGGGAGACGTCTCAGTAGAGGAGAACACACCCGTTATGCTGGGATTCGCATTTCTAAATCACTTCCCTTTTAGGGATGAGCGATGTGGGGTGTGTGTGCGTGTGTGTGAGTGTGTGCGCGTGCGTGTGTGACCCCCAAGTGTACTTTGCTCTTCAATTTAGATGTGCAGTATTTCCAGACACAGTGAAAAAAGTAAGATGTTTTCTTCTTTATGATTCTGCTCAAAACACCACGTGCCGCCTCAGAGCTTTTTCTAGAGCCTCGGTCCTCAAAGACGCGCTTGACGTGTTGATGCCTCAGCCCAGCAAAGCCCCTTCACCTGTGCCCCGGACGACAGCTCTTCAGTGTGCAGTGCAGGCCTGGGGTGGACTGCCAGGACCTCGCTCTGTGCCAGCAACGCCATTCTTGTTGCTCCTCCATGAACAGGGGTACAAGCCCTAGCCCCTCCTCGACACTAAGCCCCCCACAGACTCAGCCTCCACGGAACCGCTGAGCGCCCCTCGAAGCATGTCATTGTCAGTGATACCTTTTTATTCTATGGACTCTAACCTATTTGTGTCATATTGACCTTTTGCTGCATGAGTCATAAATTACGAAATCAGTCTTATGGTTTTTGAAATGTAGCCAGCATTTGTAAGGCTAAACCTTTTTCATGAACTGAATTTAAGTGAATAACCAAGCCACAGTTCCTCTTCAAACGGAGAGTGATGATCGACATTTGAATCTCTTTGCCCTTTCCAACGGCTATGGCATCAGGTTCTAAAATAAGCTCGTAATTTTTCCTGTTATTTTAATAATATGGAAATATTAGCATAGTGTTTCTTTTGATAGTGATAGACTATAATCCATATTTAAATTTTATAGAGAAGAAATTTTATTGTACTGTGATGTAGATATTTATTATCCAGGTAAGGATTTGCCCGGTGTGTATTTTTTACAACTGAGACATTTTACTTTAATCTTTTAAAAAAAAAAAAAAAAAAAAAAACGCATTAAAAAAAAATTTAAAAAAAAAAAAATGACTGGGGGAAAAAAGGTTTGGCCTTATCACAGAATTTTTACTGTGCTGTATAAATGTTTGCAAATGCGAAAAGTGTGCATTTATAGTGTGTTTCCACATTAATTAATGCCGCCTTCAAGAGCAATATTGTGCAGGTAAAACGCTGTTTGTGGCTTTCTGTTGCACAGTTAAAGCTGACCCACCCTATGCACAAGACAATCAAATATATATCTGTCCTCCTCAGGATGCAGATAATGCTCGTGTAAATTATGGAGCACAATGTAAGGCAAAAGAAGACACTTTACATATGTATTGTTGATACAGAAATTATCAGGGCATGAATGAGCTGATGTGACATTACGCCATTTCTTTCTTTTGGTTTTTCCTTAATAACTTGGCACTTTTAATTTGACCTTAGAGCCAAATTAGTTCTCCATGCTTTCCTCATAGAAAACCCTTTTTGTTCCCATAATGTTTTCATGCCCTGAGAATCAGAAAAATACTAAAGAATAGGAAAAGATTTACAGTCATTGGAAGACTTGTGTTTTGCAAACAGTGTTAAGTGATATTGCTAGATGGTGATATTTTTTTCAGCCTAAAACTCTGTTGAAATCTGTGATCAAAATGTTTTAAACTATCCAAAAAAAATTTGTATATTTGGGAAAAATGGATTTTTACATAGCTTTTGTATGCAGATATAAAACTGTAATTATGAATATAGTGGGCGTAGATAAACTCATAAGCTTAAATTCTAAAAAAGAAAAAGCTTATAACAGATATACTTTCCTGTCTCTTTCTTTAAATATTATTACTTTCTACATGCCTGCTCTTCTCACCTCAGCTGTGGCCAAAAGCAAAGAAACAAGGATGTAAAGGCATTTCTTTCGAAAATAAACATCTACTAGAATAAGCAAATGTACTTGGGAGGAAAGGATGGAGGGAAAGAAGAAACTAAGTAAAGTGCTGATGAGGGTTTACCTCTTTGGAAGGGGCCACAAAGATGAGGGGAGAAGGAGAGAGGTAAAGTTCTGCTTTTCAAGGACAGCATTGATCTTCTCATCTCAAATTATTAATGGGAATTATATTAACATCATCAACCAACATATATCTCAATCTCAGTTGCCCTGAACACATGTTAATTGGGATTCCTTCTGTGACAAGTTTAAAAAAAAAAAAAACTCAAAAGTGGCTTAAGCATAAAGCTAATTATTGACTTTAATATCTGGGAAATCTAGGGTGTTTGCATATGAAACTTCAGACATGGCTGAATCTGGGCGCACTTAGTATTCTCAGGAAGCTCCTCTCTTCATCTTGTCATTCATGTAGATTTAATATTCACATGGCCTTTCACCTTATGGTAGCTTCCAATAGTTGCAGGATTGGCTTTACAGCTCCAAATATATTGAAAAGAGAATTTCTTTTCACCAACAATTCTAATGAAAATTCTGGCCTAATTCTCATTGGCCCAGGTTGAGTCATGTGCCCATTCCTGAGCCAGTCACTGTGGCAGGAAAACAGATGTATAATCAACCTTATCCTCGGGAATCATGGAACTGGGTGAGGGGAAAGGACAGTCAACCTCATCTCAACTTTGGGCTGAGACTTGAGGCAGGATGATTCCTCAAAGGAAATTCTAAGTCTTGCTGCTATAAGTGAGGGAGAATGGTGGGCAAGCAAAAGCAACCAATGTCCACACCAAAGGTAAATCTGAAACCACGTGCCATTTCAGTATAGCAAAGGAGTCTCCTTCACACAGAAGAAGCTCAGCTCAAAGTGTTTATTTGGCCAGGGCATGAACCAATAAACACTTTCCAAAAGAAGTGTTTGATCACATTCTTCCTGGTTCATGAAAATGCCAGTCCAGGTAAGATGGAGCAAGCATCATTATTTCCCTAAGCTAGACCAGTTCAAAGTACTATTTTCTGAGTTTTTCCACTCTCTATTCAAAGGGCCAAGTATAGCCTTTATATATTTATCTCTTTTCTACATTATGTACCTCCCAATTTTACCCTAATGAACATATGTCTCTCCTCCAAAAAATTACTTGATTCATTTATTTTGGAGAGCTGGAACATACATATTCCAGCTAGGTACCATTCTTAACCCCTTTAAACATGCAAACCCAATCCTAAACTAATTTAATACCTAATGGTTTGATTTATATGAAGCTGGTGTCGTGTCACAAACCTGGACAAGTCTAATAATCTCTGAAGAGGAGCCAGAGGGCAAAGTTGGTTTGCTTCTCCACCCTCAAGATGACAGCTCATTCTGGTTTTATATTTAGACACTCAGGGCTCTATAGCTTTGTAAATAAGTGGAATTGTCATTAGGTTCATGTACACAAATTCTGACACATTAAATGTTGTTTAAACCAAAGCAAAACTTAGTAGAACTACTGAAATGCAGAATGTTACAGATACCATTTGAGCATGTATCTCAAGAGGATTCACTGACTAGTTGATGAAATGTACCATGTTATACTCTTTAAAGACAATCCACCTACACCATACATTGATGAAATCATAAACAAAGTCTGTATCTGCACAGTGATATTGCCTGCAGGCTATATTAAAATGAGAAGAGAATTGCCTTAGCATAGGTTCCCCAGAAAGCAGAGCTCATCCTACAATTTTATTAGGCATTATCATGCCCGAGGAAGAAGTAGAGGCAAAAGCGAATGAGGCATAGAAGAAAAGAGAATAAATATAAAGGTGCATTGCTAAGTTGGCCACACTTAGTACCAAGCACAGCTGAGTACTCAACTGTGTAAGACCATCTTCTAAGGGGCCATATGAACTATACTGATCTGGGAGTAAGAAAGAGGATTTGTCTACTGGCTCTGCCATTACCAAAAATAGGGCTACCTTCCCGCCATGTCTAGGTTGTATATCCCTGGCCACAGAGCAGGTCCTGTGGTGCTTCATGCTTCAGGAGTGAAAGCAATCCTGCACGTGGGGAAAGCTGGTCTCTACTTTCACAGATGGGCATACCCCACCTATACTGGTTGGCAGATCAGGTGGTAAGTGGGGTGAAACAAGTGGCCCTGGGCCCTGAGGACATAAGTGGAGCTTGGAGGATCTGCAATTTTCCGATACAAGGGCTGCTTCAGCCAACAAGTTCTTCCAATTACCTGGACATGGGCCATCAAGTTCCAAACAGAATCATGAAGCTCAATAGGCAATCAAACTTATATTTCACTGTGCCATGGATCTGCCCATATAGGGGCTTTTAATGTAATATAAACTGGTCATGTAAATTAATTATCCTCTTAATTACATTTTCTTGCAGTAACTGTAAAAACTAAGTACACGTAAACTAATCTTTTAATTACACTACCTTAGTTTTTCTTGTAGCTGTTTCATTTCAAGGGCAATTTCTTTTCTATATAAATATCTATCTGAAAGTTTTATAGAAGCCAATAAAAATTTTTTATTTTTCCATGTAAAACTTCACTTAGTATAAACTTTTTTTGGAAATAATACATATAAAGAGTAAAGTCAGAAGAAGTTGAAATAAACACTCCTTTTCTTTCAGGACAGACTGATAATGTTCTGTATATTTTCTTTTAACTGTCTTGTATGTAACACCAATAGCAATGAGGAAGATGCATATAAAGTAAGACATCTTCAAGTTAATCAAAAAATTCTTATGCCCACAAATCTCAATGGATACAGAGATATGAAAAACACTCCTTAGTATTACCCCAAGTCCTAAAAAGAGACTGCAGTCTTATTTATTGCAGATATGCAGTTAGGTTTGCATTCCAATCATTTTATGATGTCTCCAATGGGAGCTTTTAGCCCTAAAGAGATATTTTAGGATATCTTTCCACTACATAAAGTCAAGGTCAAGTAGCATCTGTGTAATAAGTTATATCAAAAGATGAATAACCTCCTGGGTGTAGTGGCTCATGCCTGTAACCCCAATACTTTGGAAGGCTGAGATGGGAACACTGCTTGAGGCCAGGAATTTAAGACCAGCCTGGACAATATCGCAAGACCCTTGTCTCTACAAAAACTTCTAAGAAAAAAATTCACCTGGCATGGTAGCATGCATCTGTAGTTAGCTCCTTAGGAGGCTGAGTCAGGAGAATCCTTTGTGCCTAGTTTGGGGCTTCAGGGAGCTGTGATCATATCCCTGCACTCCAGCCTGTGTGACAGAATAAGACTCTACCTATTAATAAATAAAAAATAAATAATAAGATGAGAAACCTGAGATCACCAAAGATTATTCATTGGTAAGTGAACTATCTTGTGAGACTCCAGTTGAAAATTTCAGAAAATTCACCTCCATTTTCCCCAGCACTTTGACAAAAGTTCCATTTATTGTTACTTTCCACTCAAGAGTCCCAGAAACCACCCCAAAGGATTTGCTAGGTGTTTATGCTGCTTCCCACAGTTCTTCACCATCATGTTGGAGTATGTAATAATTGCCCACAATGTAATGAACACCTACTGTATGCCAGAAATCATGCTAGACCCTTTATATTACCTCTAATCCTCCAAACAAACATGGAAGTAGGTGTTAGTATTCTCATTTGGCAATAGGGACATGGGACTCAGTGTGAATAAGCAAATTATCTAAGATGACGCCATTGGCAGAGATCATGGCATTCCAAGACCTATATTCTTTTTACAACCTGCACTGAGACCAGGATAAAGCCTCAGCCCCTTAAAAAAACAAAAAAGCAAGTCTGCTCTGGAAATGTTTGTCATTTCCCTTCCTAAAAATTCACCTATTCTAATGGAAAAAAAAAAAAAGTACATTATAAAGGAAGGTTACCTGACTTTTCATTAGACTGTGTCCATTATAAAACCACTCACTGCTATTGCAGCATAAAGTGTAATTTCTCTTTGTAGGACCCATGTATAACCCAGCTGGCTTCTAGAGATGTTAGTCTGAAAAGAGGACATTTAGTTTTCTAAGCATTTGAGGGTCCGAATCATCAAGTTTTGGGAGAAACGAATTGCTCTGAATAATTGAAAAAGAATTTACAGTAATACAGATTGGAAGTGGGGAGGGCAAGCAAACAAGATGACAGAAACACTTATGCTTCAAGATGTGACACCATGCTGTAGCGCTCTCAACTTTAGACAATCAACTTATTGGCAAATGCATGACGCAGATGAATTCCTTGTAGAAATAAATGAAAAGAGAAATTCAGGCATGTTTATATGGAAGTCATGAGCCCCAAAACAAAGGGGATCTTAATATAATTATCCCAGAATTCATTAGGATTCTAGGGGTTACTTCATCTAGATTTTTGTTCTGTTTTGTTTTGTTTGTTTTTGTTTTTGTTTTTTGAGATAGAGTTTTGCTCTTGTTGCCCAGGTTGGAGTGCAATGGCATAATCTCGGCTCACTGCAACCTCCACCTCTGGGTTCAAGAGATTCTCCTGCCTCAGCCTCCCGAGTAGCTGGGATTACAGCCATGGGCCACCATGCCTGGCTAATTTTGTATTTTTAGTAGAGTCGGGGTTTCTCCCTGTTGGTCGGGCTGGTCTCGAACTCCTGACCTCAAGTAATCTGCTCACCTCGGCCTCCCAAAGTGGTGGGATTACAGGCATGAGCCACTGCGCCTAGCCTAATTTGTCTAGTTTTAAAGAATTGAGAGGAGAGCTTTTCAAAGCAGTTTTATGTAGCTCTTTGAAGGGAGGGCTCTAGCTGACATCTGGTAGATAGGTTTACTTAAGACCATACTTAGATGTGGAAATAAATTAGCAAATTGAAGGTTCTTGTGGAATTTTCCACAGGAAAGCCATAATAAAAGCCCACTAT